TAACTAAGGGCATAAGAGTAGTGTTGGTCCTCTAATAAGATTATTTATTTGTTTATTTATTCAACAAATATTTACCAGAAATCTATTATGTACTAGACTCGAATGATGAAGGTAAATAACATACAGTTCCTGCTTTACAGGAGCTCGGAGTGGGCTGGGGAATCAGACAGAAAAGGATAAATAAACTTCATGGCCTTATAAATTCTTTTTTGGAGGAGGGGGAGGTGTAATTAGGTTTATTTATTTATTTTTTTTAATGGAGATACTGGGTATTGAACCCAGGACCTCCCTATGGTGATATGAATGAAGTGTTTTGGGAGTCCAGAGGAAAGTGTTTTTCATTCTGCCTTGGAGAACTAGGGGAAGGCATAGAGGTAAGAGCTAAATTGGGCAGCAGATCCTGTTTTCAGCCTAAGGCCAAAGATGAGGTATAGCTTCAAAGTAATAAAACTGATTTTTCAAATAAATTCTAAAATCAGCTGTTAAAGTGAAGTTCTGAAATTGTTTTGCATACTGGAAGCATTATTTAAATGTTAGTATAGCTATATGTATCTTCTGCAAAAGTGGCTAATCTGAAGGATAGTACTAATTACGTAGGGCTTCAGCTGCTAATTCTCATGCTTTCATGTTCCTATTTCATGCTGTCTCTTGTGATGAATTAATTCTGCAAATATTATGTATCAAGCATTATCGAGCCTGGAAGTACAGAGCTAAATAAGTAATGGGCCCCTCCCTACAAAGAACTCTAGTGAAAGAGGCAAATGTGTCTATAACATAGTACAGTGTGTGTTATAATGTTAATAAAATGAGCAAAGATTTGTTTCAGAAGTATTGTTCACAAATTAATAATTTGCCATTGAGTCATGGATAAATTATAATCTAGTCTGAAATAAGTTTGTAGTCTTGGAAATAACTACTGTTTCTCCTGCCTCAGACCTTCTTGCACACAGGATATTTACTCTCCCTGAAATTCTATTCCCACGTCACTCCCACCCCCATTTTCACCCCAGCCTGGCTAAATTCTCTCTCCTTCAGATCTCAACTTAGATGTTAACTTCTTTGTAGAAGCCTTCCCACACTTCTCCAGTGTAAATTAGATAGATTCATCCAATAGTTATTCTTTCCTTGAAATGTGTTTGGGTTTTTTTACTGAGTTGTTTAATGTCTGCCTCTGTTTTTACACTGTTGGCTTCCTAAGGGCAGGACTGTATGTGTTTTATCCACCAATGTGTATCCACACAGTAAAACCTCATTTATTTATTGAATGCATGAATTAATGAGTATTCATTGTGTACTAGCTGTTGGGCTAAAAAGTCACATACATTACCATATTTAATCCTCAGAATAATCTTCTTAATTATGTATTGTGTCTATTTTAAAGATAAGGGAATGAGTCCCCCCCCCCAAAAAAATTGTTTAGTGTATCCATAATCTCATAGCTAGTAAATGGCAAAGCCAGAATTTGAACCCATTTTATAAACTCCTTCCTTGGCTACCTGAAATTAAATGCTTCTAGTATTTTTGTTTAGTTTTCTATATGTAATTAGCAAAATAAACTACTGTTAACCAGAACTGTGTTAACGTCTGGCTTTTTTATCTGTTGCTTTTAGTAACTGATGTTAACAGTAGGATTCTGTGGTATATTATGAATCATAAAAAAGGAAAATTGGAAGGTTGGAATCAGAATGTTAGGTGTGAAGAGAAAACTGTGGAGATCAAAGCTTCTTGTTTTATAGGTGAAACTGAGACTAAAATAGTGGGGTAGCTTGTCTAGGGTCATATTTCAGTAAATTAGAAGCTAGATCTTCTAACACCTAGTCAATCAATAATATACAACAGTATCTCTATTCACTTTGGGGTGGTTTCCAAGTAGATTTTTTTACATTCTTTTTCTCTTTTGGACTCTAGCCCAGAAGGCTATATATGTTCTCTTGCCATACAGAATAGTAAAGCAGTTACTGTAGACCAGGCTGACTAGATAAAGTTTCTAGGTAGGGGTAGTTCAGAGACATACTTTCCATTGGTGTCTTTTCACCTTTTCTGTTTCATGGTCATTTCACCATTTCATAAACTGTGAGATAAACAAAAATCAACATTTAAGTCTCTACCCTGCAGGTGATAAAAAAGTCTAGTGAGAGTGCCTGTGAAAGTTAGAGAAGTATGTTAAGGATGAAGCTAGAGCTATAACTTGAGCTTGTTGACCATGCGTCAGCAAACTATAGCCAGCACCACCTGATTTTGTAAATAAAGTTTTATTGATATACAGCCACACCTATTCTTTTACGTATTGTCTGTGGCTGCTTCCTTGCTACACCAGCAAAGGTTAATAGCTGTGACAGACACTGTGTACTACAAAGCCTAAATATACGCTGCCTGGCTGTTTACCCCAAAAAAGTTTCCCAACCCCTACTGTAGACTTCCTGTACTAGTTCTTTCCATCTAGGAGAGTGCTTATTGCCTTTCAAGCTGTCCTCTCTCCACAATTTACATTTAATAGAAAGAGCTCTTGTCTCTGGGGTTCCATTTTCCATTGAACAGATATTCTGAACTTTACAACCTATGAAAGATTCATGCCAGTTCAGTTTTTCTGAGAAAAAGATATAAAACTTTCTGGAGCCAAAAATTACTGCTTGTCGTGGAGCCATGAAAAAATTAGTTTAATGGAAACTGACATCAGGTGCACAATGCTTACAGTTTATAATGTTCTCTGAGCTTTGACCAATCGTATATTTTGTATTAGATTTGAATCCTGGGACCCTGGGAATAGAATGTTTAAGCTCTGTATTAATGATACTCAAAGTGTGATTCCCCACAGCAGTGATACCCACACAACCTAGAAGCTTGTTAGTAATGCAGATTCACAGGCTCTACTGTAAACCTACTGGATCAGTAATTCTGGGGACAGGGCCTAGTTTTTGATGTTTTAACAAGACCTTCAGATGATTCTGATGCACACTGAAGTTTGAGAACCGTAATCGGATCTCAGAATTTGCATTTCTGTCAATTTCCCAGGTAATGCTGGATGCTTCTGGTCTGGAAACTACACTTTGAGAACCATTGCTCTAGATACTAGAATAAGAAATTAGGACATAGGCCAAGAAAATAGTTTTTGAGTCAGTCAGATCCTGTTGAGAAGAGCATAAAATAGACATTTGGGGGCAATTTTAGTGTAAAATTTAATTTTTTAAATGCAAAGAAAAGAGAATTTAAAAAAAAAAACTACCACCTAGCAAATCTTAACATTTTGCCTTTTGCTTCTTTGGGGTTTTTTTGGTTTGTTTGTCTGTTTTTTAAGAAATTAGAGTACAGACATGGATGAAGCCTACTGTGTGCCCTTCCAGAATTCCAGTCCTCTCTCTCTTTCCCTAGAGGGAGCCATGAGGTTGGTGTTATCACATGCAAACTTGTCTTTATAATTTTACAATTTCTGCATACATTTGTAAAATTCAGTACATATTTTCAGATTTTACGTAACAATTATCAGCTATTTCCTCTAGAAATTGTTTCTGAATATAATACACGTTGATACAGTGTAACTTTAGCTTATTTTTATTGGCTGTGTAAATACACCATAATTTATTAATCCATTTTCCTTTTAGTAGGCATTGGGTTGTTCCTAAATTTTTTTACTATTTCAAAGAGTGCTGCAATAAATATTCTTGTACATGTCTTCATGTACACTTGTGACAGAAAGTTTCTGTAGGGTATATGCCCAGAAGTAGAATAGCTGAGAAGTATGGTAACAGTAGCTTCAGCTTTACTAGATACTGTTAATTGTTCTCTTAATGGTTATACGTGTTACTCACCTATCTGCAAGGTATGAGAGCCCCAATTTTCTACATTTTCATCAAAACTTGACATTTTAATTTTTACCATAGAGATATGACATGCCTTCCCATTTTTAAATTTATAATTCCCACAGTTCTAGAGAGCTTGAAGGTAGTTTTCATGTTTCTTAATATTTCCGTTTTTTTTTCTGGGAATTACTTGTGATATCTTTTACACATTTTCTGTTGGGTGATTTGCCTTTTTACATGAATTTGTAGATGCTCTTTATGTAATCTTTGAGTTACTTGTGTTTCAAGTACTTTATCTCAATCGCTCATCTTTTAGCTTTGGTTGTGGATAAGAAAATCTTTCCCTACTCTTGGGTCATAAAGATTCTTTTATTTTAGCTCAAGTTTTAAAGCTTTGCTTTGTACAGTGAAGTCTTTATCTGGAATTTACTTTTGCATGTGGTATGAGGTAGAGATCTAATTTCATTTTTTTTTCCATATAGATAACCAGTTCCAGCTTTACCCTTTTGTCATTGGTCTATAATGCCACTGCTGTAATATATCAAGACTTTTTTCTATGTGCATAGATCAGTTTCTGGGCTTATAATCTGTTCTATAGGTCTGTTTGTTTATCCCTGTGTCAGAGCCACATTGTCCTATTACCACTTTATACAAATACCTAGTATCTGATAAGAAACATCTTATTGTAAACTTTTTCAAAACTGTTCTTACTATTCTTGATGATTCACTTTTCAAGATAAATTATACAATTGGCTTGTCAAGGTTCATGAAAAATCCTATCTTGCAATTTTGATTGGCATTACATTGTATTTATAGATTACTTTGGAATGAATTGACTATCTTTCAGTTCATGAACATGGTATATCTCCTTTATTCAGGTCTTCCACAATGGCCTTTCAATAATTTTTCATAATTTTTCCTAAAAGGTGTTTGTCATCTTTTATTAGACTTACTCCTAGGTATATTTTCTTTTGTGAATAACAGTATTTTTCTAATTATTTCTAGCATATAGAAGCACTTTGTTTCCTCTTTATGAATATGTTATTCTCTCCTTTTCCAGTAGATGGCAGTAAAATACATTAAGATTTCATTGTTAAGAATCTTTTCTTTCAGTGGTGTCTTTTTCCACTGAAATTAAAATGATTTGTTTTAAAGGTATTGATTCTGAAGTATTTATAAATTATCTCCCTTTGTTCCATTTAGGAGGATAAAAAGAAGCGAGATCGTGACCATGTGGACAGTGAGGCAGAAAAAGAACTCCAGTGTCAGGCTCCTGTAGGATTAGACTTGCCTCCTGAGAAGCCTCTTGCAAGCTCTTTAGCGAAACAAGAAGGTTGGAATAACTCTGAATTGACTGTCCTGAATAAGGAGCCTGAAATTATTTTAAGGATCATAGCCAGGGAAAATGACTGGGTTTTTAGGTTTTAAGTTAAAATTTAAAAGCTGTTTAATTTTTTTTTTAACTTTTCTTATTTCTGTCACTGCTTAAGCGTTTCGAATTAGCTTCATTTTTGAAGTTGATATTCTCGTTCTTCGGCATATTTGTAAGATAAGTGGAATTTCTCTGTGAGATATTTAATGATGGATGTTAGTCATGTATAGAAAGAGAATAAGCTAGACAATACTCTCTAGAAACCTTCCTTTTTAAAACACTCTTTTCCTTTCTTCTTCACTTTAGAAGTAGAACAGACACCCCTTCAAGAAGCTTTGAATCAACTGATGAGACAATTACAGAGGTAAATTTTTTCCAACGTTTTTATAACATGGAGATTGAAATGGGAAATACAGGATCCAGACCACTTCATCATTATTATTATTATTATTATTATTATTATTATTTAAAGCCATATTTTGTGGCCTAAATCCAAATGTACTTGATTTTAAAGTGGATGATAAATATTTTGCCTGGCAATAGAAGTACTCCAAGAGGCTGACTTTTAGATGTTCTCATTTGGTTTGTTTTAACTGGCAGCTTGAAGAGTGTTACATAATACTCTTAATGGCAAATTTCTCCTTAATCTAAAGTAACTTCTGATGTTAAAGCTTTTGTGACCCTCTCTTAAATGTAGAAATTTGTTCTGAAAATTACAATATCTAGATAAAACCAGTGTTCTTAAAAGGGAAGAGAATAAATCAATGTTTATTAAAATATTTGATATTTCTTTTTGCTCAGAATTTGAATTTTTAGCTCAAAGACATTAACATTATTCGCAGAGGATTCATTGGTATGGGCACGCATTCTAACAGTAAACTTTCTCCTCACTGTGTTGGACTTGTATGTCGTCCCCAGAACACATCATAAATAACTTTGAAGTAAAGCCTCTGCGCTGTCTGTTCAACAGCTATTCAGCTTTGCAGTTAAGATCAGAAATCAGTGGCCTCTCTTTCCTTTTTTGTTGTTACAGAACAGTTGAGAAAATTGTATCTCAAGTATTTACACTTGAATGAATCATTCATTGCTTGTCCCAAAGGAGTGAACCAGTAAATATTGAGCATTCCAACTCAGTTAGAATATATGACTATGAAGTGTTTCGGCTACCTTTTAATTTTGCTTCTTGCAACATAAGATCAGAATGTAGATTATTGATGTCACCTTAAAAGAAATCTATCTAACAAGGTCTCTCTTAGACTAGAGATGTTCACACTGCTCAGAACATTTGGGAGAACCCAGAGCCACTTTTTTTGAGTAGTCTTAGTGATTCTTCATCCTTGAGGCTCAGTATAAATGGTGGTAAAAAATATAATTAACCAAGTTTAGTAATAATATTTCTGGTCAAGTGGGACTCTATATTAAAATGACTAATTTTAGGGGATGTAGATAATTTGCTCTGAAGAGGTCCTCCAGAGATACTTCATGGTGTTATTCATGGTAACTACTATGGACAGCATGCATTTGGATATGTAAGTTCCAGACTGGATAGTTTTGCTTATTCTCAGCAATTTTTAGTGTCACTCCTTATGCATCCTTCTGGGAAGAACAGAGGCAGATTCACACACACCTGAGTTCAGATTCCAGCTCTATCTTTTATCGGATTTATGACCTAAATGATTTGACCTTTGAGCCTCAGTATGCTCATCTCTAAGTGAGGATACTACCTCCTTGATGGCCTCTGTGAGGATTAGATATAAAATATATCAATTCCCTACCACTGGTCCTGGCATGTGGTAGATACATTTTTTTAATTGCTATTATTATTTTTTAAACCATTTTTATTGCTGTGATTATTTGTAGTAAGAAAGCTTTGCTTTGCCAAATTTCCAGAGGAAAATATCTGTCTGATGGGCTAATCATATAGAGCAGTGGTTCTCAACCCTGTCAGTACTGGAAATACCAAAACTCATCCCTAGAAAAACCAATGCCTGGACCCACCCTCCTTTCCCCCAAGAGATTCTCATGTAGTGTCTCTAGGGTAAGCCTTCCATCCCACTGGATTTTTGTTTAAAGCTCCTCTAATGATTCTCATGCACAGCCAGAGTTAAGAACCTGAGATAGAAAGCACTGGGTCTCAAGTTTTGGGAATATTATGAGAACCTTTTTAATACCAGTTTTTTGAGCACCCCCCTACACACACAATGGAAGTCCATTAAGAAAAGGTATATACAATTATCCCTTGGTATCCACAGGGGGTTGATTCCAGAAGTCCCACTGAATACCAGAATCCAAGGATGTCCAAATCCCTTGTATAAAATGGCAGTAGTGCAGTGAATACAGTCAGTCCTCCGTATCACACATTTGGGAAACCCACAGATAAAGAGGGCCAGCTATACTCACGGAGATGTACCACTCCTGTGGCCCACCAAGAGTCTAAGCCTTTAGTCAGAAACCAATATGGAAGATTGGAGATGTGCATTCATCATAGTTATTATTCCTGCCTTTTCCTCTATAGTTGATAAAAATACATAGTACTAATCTCCCAGAGTATAAAGCATTGATCTAGGTTAGTCTAGGTTTTTATTTTGTTTCATCTTTCCCTATGTAAGAGATGTTACAAATTAATTAAGCTCTATAGTTTAAAAGATTCTCTGCCTTAAGGGTACAATTTGTATGTGAAATATCTTAACCCTGTTGTTACATAGTTATTAGTTTTTAAAATCATCATTTCAGTTTTCAGTGAAAAACATATTAGCACACAACAGATTCTTTCTACATCTGAAGGGTTTCCTCTTACTTCTGCTCCTTGACCAGTAGATTTGTTTGTAGTAGAAATAAAATTGCCTTTTTCCTGTCTTCACAGAAAAGACCCAAGTGCTTTCTTTTCATTTCCTGTGACTGATTTTATTGCTCCTGGCTACTCCATGATCATTAAACACCCAATGGATTTTAGTACCATGAAAGAAAAGATCAAGAACAATGATTACCAGTCCATAGAAGAACTAAAGGTAACTCTAGTTATTTATGTTGTGTTGGAGAAATAGAGTGAGCCATGCTACAAAGTAACATATCTATTCAATTGAGAGTCAAGCTCTTGGATCTTGTATATACAAAATCTTGGTAGAAATCTGCATGTCTGGTATTCATAATCTCTCTAAAGTTTATCTAAATCTGTATTTTTCTGTCTTAGAAAACATTTTTGAGCTTGGTGATAGAAAACCAGGCAAAATAAGCCATCTGCAGTCAGTCTTTCATTATTTTATGGGTTTTGGTAAAACTTTGAATTTCATTTGTTCTACAAAATATTTTTTCAACCTTTAAAATGAAAAGATGTTTAATTTTTAATTTCAGGTTAACACAGGTAAAATCAATTTTTTTTAATTGAAGTATAGTTGATTCAGGTATATAGCAAAGTGATTCAGTTACTTTTTTTTCAGATTATTTTCTGTATAGGTTATTACAAGATACTGAATAAAATTGATATTTTAATGGAAGCTGATTTAGAGTAGTTTTTTTTTTTCTGTTTCTAGGGACATCTTCTAAAATAGAGAATAAATTGGCTTGTCTAGAAATACTAAAGAGAGGTTTAATTACACTTTCTAGTTTGATGAAAGTCAGTTGCTCCATGAGTTCACTTTGGCTGTATTTGTTTAACATATTTTCTTCAACTTTAAGAAGAAAGAAATTTAAAATGTTAAAGTAAAGGTATTCCAGGCCACCAAGGTGATGTATATGCCTAATGTTATAGTTGAAGCTTTTTCCCTCTTTAAATAGCCTTGGTTTATGTTGATTTGAGAGTTATACTTTCCATTTTAATCTTCCAAAGAAAAGAACGATGTGTTTTTTTTCAATTTGCTCTGTACTAAACCATCATGAACTTAACTGATTTAGGTAATATCAGCTATAGCTTTGTTTTTTCTGTTCTGTTTTCTGTTTCTGTCAGGTTGCGGTGTTCACCTGACATAAGGGCTAGATAGACCCTATTCAGTTACAGAAGGAAAACTGTAGACAGTTAACATTATCTTTACTTGGGCTCTCTTTTTTTCATCCACATTGATCAGCTGAAATTTATGAATAACACCAGCATTTAATTCTATCTTTACTATCAGCTTGAATGTACAGATAATATTTCACTTGCTCTGAAAAAACTGAATTGTTTCAGAGAAATGGAGATTTTTCCCAACTTTTCATCTGGTGAAAATTAGGCTAGAACTGTTCGTTTCAGCATATTTCTGACCTTATTATTGCTTAATGGAAAATTTTTCAGTTTTTTTTTTCTTTTTGTGAATAGTTTTCCTCTGATCTTTCTCTTATGATGACAGGAAGGAGTAAAAGTATGCCCACTAAATGTTTTTGAGCAAATGGTTAAGATTTATCATAATTGAAACAAACAAGTATTTTTAATTTTTTGGAGTTTTCTACATTACTGCATTTTTTTTTTCCTCAGGAAAATTCAGTAGCCCATTGTAATATTTATTAGCTTATCCAGCTCATTAGGCTATTCAGAGTTATTTTTTTGTTTGTTTTTTGTGTTTTTAATTACATGAAAATTAGGCAGAAAGGTCATTCAGCTTTGTGAATGACCAAGTGCCAATAGACAAAGGTCCAGTAAAACCTAACACATGACAGTTAAGATTCATGGACTCCACAAATTGTCTTAACAGATTACACTTGTAATCGGTAGGATAATCTAGTATTTTCTGGCCAGTTGAAGGCCCAGTGGTCATTTAACGTGCATAGTCATCTAGTGTCTCCCTTCACTTGCCACTCCTCCCCCCAAATATATATTTGATAATTCATAATGGAATGGAAGTTTTTCAGAATATGTATAACAACAGTTCTTAACCTGGGGTCTTTTGGGTAGCCATGGGTGAACCTTTAGGGGGACCAAGAACCTTACAAAATTACATAAAAAATTTTGTGTTCACCTCTGTATGTATACTTGAGGAGGGAATCCATAGCCTTCATCAGATTCTTAGGGATCCAGGACCTAGCAAAATCCTGATTAGAGACTTGGCCAAGAATTGATGATCCATATATATTCATCTATTTTAGATACAATATCAAATTTATTGTGACCCTTGAATCAGTCTTCTCATGCATTCTTTTTTTTAATTGAACTGTAATTGATTTACAATGTTTCAAGTGTACAGCAAAGTGATTCAGTTATTTATATATGTATTCTTTTTCAGATTCTTTTCCATGATAGATTATTAATAAGATATGGAATATAGTTCCCTGTTTTCATATGCCTTTAAATAATATTTAGTCTACCTGTTTACATTAAGTGTTTTAAGTCATCGTCACTAGTTATTAAATAATAGGGCTTGAATGTTTTAGGTTTGGGGGAGAAATTTGGGGGGTCAGATTCTTTTTTGTTGAGTTTTTATCATTTTAGTAAGGCCTTGGCATAATCACTGTACTTTTGGTTATACAATGTATAAATTACATAACCATGAAAATATGCAGTGGAATTGAGTTCTCCAGCACATGTGCATACTTTGAAATTTAAACCAAAAGTACAGTTTTGATAATTTGCCTACTCCAGTTACATGTTGCAACTCTTTGAAGTTGTATGGTTTATTTCTTGTTGGCATGATTTTACAACATTCTGCAAATTATGTTTAACTTATAATAGTATCCAAATACTTAAAAGAAAATTAGTGTAAATGTTTTGCCATTTTTGCTCAGTTAATTTGAATTTGGTGGAAAATATTGTAATAATTTAGCATTGACTCAGTTTTCAGTCAAGATCTGAAATAAAATATTTAATTCATAAATGGAAAATTTAAATGTTTGTTTTGTGGGGGAAGGGTATAGATGAGTGGTTGAGTATGTGCTTAGCATGCATAAGGTCCTGGGTTCAATCTTTAGTACCTCCATTAAATAAATGAGTAAACCTAATTACCCACACACACACAAAAAACTAATTTTCGAAAAAGCCTTTTAAAAAGTTTATTTGAAAGCTAAGAATATTTTTTAATTAAATGAACTACTCAGTTAAAATTATTAAGTATAAGGTAGAAGTGTTTTCTTCTCATTCTTTTTGTGTGCAGTAAGATCATACTGAGGAAACCCATTTTAAAATTTCACCCTGAACTAAAATTTTTATAGTTACTATAGAATGTTTAAGAATTTTGTAAAGGAATATAATAGGATGTTTAAATTGATTTAGCAGTGTTTGCTTTCTTAGTGATTTTTAAAGCATAGTAAATTGCTATTAATGTTGTTTAATAAACAATAAAAGAAAAGGATAGGGGTTTTGTTGTTGTTGTTATTTTTAGTTTTTTGAGGACCTGCATGATTTCAAACCAGGACAGAAGGGTACTTTGTTTCATTTTAACGCATTTCCCCTTTACTATTTTCTTTGCAGGATAACTTCAAACTAATGTGTACTAATGCTATGATTTACAATAAACCAGAGACCATTTATTATAAAGCTGCAAAGAAGCTATTGCACTCAGGGATGAAAATTCTTAGCCAGGTAAAGGAAATTTTTTCTCATAAATAATAATTATTATAAAGTTTGTATCCCTTTGTTTTTTGGTCTGAGTGATACAGATCTAGTACAGTACTGGTTTTATAGGCAGGTCATATTAAAGTAGGAAATATTAAATGAAAAAAATTTAACATAAGAAAATTAAAGCAGGAAGAGTCTCATTTGGAATTGATACAAATAAATATTGGCATTCACTTGTAATTATTTATTTAGAGGCTTTTGAATTGGTATTCACTAGATAGACTTACGTTTGCTGTGAAAGAAACATTAACTTGAGTTCCCGGATAGGATAGATTAGATGCGTAATGAAATCTTGTAGGAGGAAAGTGCTCTTATTTCCCTTTGTAGGGGTGGAATCTAACTTTCTGATGAAGTACAGGAGTTGAAGAAAGCAAGAAACAAAATATACTAATGAGCAATAACTTGAAATTGTCTCAAAGCCACCTCCCCACAGGAGCAGACTCTCCCTTGAAGGACAAGAACTGGTGCATAGTAAGGCGTTTGAGGTGAGAGAGACGTGCACAGAGACACAGACACATCATCAGGCTTCATGAGGGAGCTTAAACGAGATAACTTAGTCAGAACAGAGAGACTGTACATAGGAGTGAAAGTTCTAGGAGCTTCCCCTCGGAGCAATGGCTGATGAAAGACCTTGAAGGGTAAATTTATGGTTGTATACATCTACTGTGAGAAAGGAGCACTCACAAAATAAGTCACTTCTTTTGAGGTTTTACTCACAGCTCTGAGTAAGATGGGAAATTAACTAAGACATTCCTGGCACTTTACCATGGAAGGAAGTCAGAAGACTACGTTTTAGCTCTTTTCCACTAACTTGTGAACCTTGGGCAAGACATTAACCTCTCTGGGCCGCAGTGTTCTCATCTTTAGAGAAGAAGGTTTAATCTGAGATCTCCAAGATGATTGCTAGAATTAATGTGCTGATTCTAGGTAAGAGCTGGAGTAGGGAGGAAACCAAGAAGGACAAGATAGGAGAGAGATTTTGCAAAGAAGAAATGAGTGGGTATATGGACATTGGAAGAAGAAAAAAGAAATCAGAGTCAAGGACTTGAGCTCAGGCTCAGGAGTTAGAGGATAGTAGAAATGAGTCATGTGTAGATGCACATGGTTTTCCAAGTTTTATGGTGATCATTTGTATCGCAGTTTTACATTTAAAGAATTGCCTTGGTGTGCAGATGTCTGAGTGTCTGTGTGATTGGCTCTGAAAGATTCTTGGATCTACTTAACTGGGGAAAGAAAAACATTTGAGAATTGATGATCATCCTTGCACTCCTAATATTTAGACAGCATCAGTTTCCACCCTTTCCTAAAGACTTGAGAAACTAATGTAAGCCCGTTACCTGTCTTTGGCGAAATCTGCAGAGAGAAGAGGAACATAAAGTGTTTATCTCAATCTTCGGAGAGAGACTTCGAATCCAAAACCAAGCCATATTCCAGTTTTTAAAACCTGCTAATACTTTTATTTCATATTTGAAGTAAAAATGCCTCCAGCAAATGCAGTCTTTAGTCACTCCGAAATATGTACATTGAATTTTTAGGATAAAGTTTAATTCGCAGACTATAACATATCCAAAGTAAATTTATCAAGTTTGATTTACCCCTGTTTTCCCATCTCTAAATAATGTAGTTACTATAACATGCAAAAGATTCCAGTATCTCTTGCGTTTTACTGAAGGTAGGATGGCTGGAAGCAAAGAAAATGAGCTTTCTTCTCTACTTTCTCTTTTCTCTCTCGCTTTTTTCCCTTTTTTCAGATCTTCCTGTTGAGGAGCCCTACCCATCCTGTGCTATAGCTTCCTGTTGACTGTTCTCTCCACCCTAGTTGGGAGGGATCCTTAACAGCAGTGATTTTTAAACATTTAACTTTAGACCTTCTGAGTTACTCTTCTAATAACACATTTCCCAAGAGAGCCCAGCACACCCTTCCATGAATGGTATCTTTTCAAAGATAACTTGAATTTTCGGTGTAAAGATTATAGAGTGATCTTTCATCATTTTTTTTCAGTTACACACAAATAGTGACTATTAGTAGATATGTTATTTTTATAAAGAAAGTACATGTATAGAATAACACTTTTGATCTCCTAAGTATAGTAAATGCTGCATTATAGTATACACAATATTATTTGTAGTGCAGTGACTTTGGTTCACCAGCCACTAATTACCAGACTAATCAAGGTTCAAGTCCTGGCTGTTGTTGAGCTGCAATGTGACCTTAGGCAGGCCTCATAACCCTGCTCAGCCTTTTTCCGGTCATGTAAAATGGCCTAACAGTAGTACTTACCTCACAGAATTATGCCTGGTGTGTGGGTAAGCACTCAGTAGGTATTAGCTATTATTAACGGCAAAGACTCAAGCCATTTTAGTCATTTGTAAAATTGAGAATTGATATAGTATGCTGGTTTAGACATTTTAATGCCAAAACAGAAGGACATCGGTTTCAGAGTAAAAGTAATGAAACTCACCTTTTTTCTATGATGTATTGAAATTTGGAAAATGTGTCTAATTGAATTATTTTAATTTTACACATACTATGTTTTTAAAGATTCCCCAAATATTCTTAACTTAGGTTCTGCTTTATAAAATTCTAGAATGGAAATTAAGGAGGTTACCGAGAACTTTGTCGTCTAAGCCCATTCATTTAACCAACATCTATTGAATACCTACTATGTGCCAACCTGTTTCAGGTGCTAGAAATAAATGAATTAAGAAATGGCTTACGTGACATACACAAGGGGAAACACAAAAGGCCAATAAACACATACAGAAATAATGACACTCACTAATATTTTTATGTTATGTTATCTTATGTTAAAATAAGACCTGTTTTTAAAAATCAGATTAGCAGTCTTTTTAAAAAATAGTAGTACCATTCAGTTTGCCAGGCATACAGAGAAAATTTCAAACACTGGTAAAAGTTTTAAATACTAATATATAAGTTAATATAGCTTTTCTGGAAGGCAGCTTGGCAGTAAGTAGTATTTCATCCCCTTTGACCTAGTGTTTTTTACTTCTAGGATTTATCCTAAAGAGATAGAGATTCCTAGAAACTTATTTATAATAATGGAAACTTGGAAATAAGCTAAATGTCCAATAGGAAGTTGTTAATTAAACTATGGGATGCACATGGGATGAAATACTATTTAATGATACAGAGGGGAGATGATTGCAATTTATTAACTGAAAAAAAAAATTTTGCTTGTTACAAAATGTCCAGTATAATTCCAGTTAGCTAATGTGTGTAATCTTTAGAAAAATACTAGAATGATAAACCTGTTAACATTTCTCCTCTCTGAATAATAAATTAACAAGGTTTTTATTTTCTCTACCCATATCTTTGTCTACAATAAAAAATATTACTTAAATAGTTGTTTTAAAGATTATTTTTACAATATTTTAAAATTATAGTCCAGTAAAAAAGGGTCCATTTGTTGAGGCTCTCACAGTTCACACTGCTAACACAGCAGAGTATGATGAGGAAAGGCCCCATCATGAGAGGCAAGAGCCCTGGTCTTAGTCACTTTTTCTGTGACCTTAGGTGCGTCATTTAGCATTTCTGGGCTACATTGTTCTTACTTGAATTACTTCTGGTCCTGTCCAGTTCTTAGTTTTTATTATTCTGTAGAAGTCTTCCCTGCTGTTGCTATGCAGCCCTAAGGAGACTGCACTCCATATTTTATCCAGTGACAACACTCAGAATTAAAAGGGAGAATAGTCACTAGGAACAAATCTGCCTGTTTAACATTTGTCCAGAAACCTCAAGCCCTTAACCATGATGAAAATTTCACAGCATATCAGTGCAGTGGAAAATTCAGCACGTTTCACAAAATAAAAACAAGACTTTTTCAGTTAGAACATTATATGCTCTGAGAAAGAAGCTATGCTAGCAGCCTTTTGTTCTCCTTGAGGCATGTTTTCACAGAGAGGAATGCCAAAGTCATCAGTGACCATCCCTTGGTACCAGAATATAAGGGATCGTCACGTGTTCAGATGCTCCAGATTTTAAATATCTGATATTTCTTAAATTTCAAAAGAGAACTCATTCTGTTAAATATAAAATTTTAACATACTATTAAACTAAATTTTACTTTTAAAATATAGTGCTGCAAAGAATACTTTGTCTTTATTCAAAGTTTCTCTTCTGTGAACTTTCTGATGATGCAGTAAAGTTATAAAAAGCTTTCTCTTATGTCGGAAATGATCTGAATTAAAGGAACAGATATTATTGTCCTGGTTCCTAAATATTCTACTTTGTTGGTATGATTACATTTAATTGTTTTTCTTCCCTAGTTAATGACAGCATAAGTGCAAACTTGTGGGAAAAAAAGAATGCATTACTTTAAAAATGAATGACAAACATGCAATAAGAATATTCTTGAATATTTGTAGGAGAGAATTCAGAGCCTGAAGCAGAGCATAGACTTCATGGCAGACTTGCAGAAAAGTCGAAAGCAGAAAGATAAAACAGACACGTCTCAGAGTGGGGAGGACAGCAGCTGCTGGCAGAGAGAGAGGGAAGACTCCGGAGACGCTGAGGCACCAGCCTTCAAGAGCCCCAATAAGGAAAATAAAAAGTAAAAAATCTTTGAAATACTAGGGTTAAGCAGTCTTTTTCAAGCCAGTTCAGGGGGGAAAATACTGACTGGGGCCCTGCCTTAGGTCGGTGGTGGATTGGGTTTTGTCATGAAAGTCCATTTTGATGATATGATACCCCTATTCTCATACAGAGCACTATATAGAATTAGCCCAACACAGCTCAGAAAATAGTTCTGAATATGTATTCTTTATGAAAGTAGTTTTAAAACCAATAAATTATCTTTAGAGATCTTTAGAGTCAGTGAGTTTATTTTAATAGAACTATCTGTTTAAGAAAAAAAGTGTTTTCATTACCTTTTTCTATGAAGGAATTGAGAGTACTTTTAAGCCTAAGCACAGTTAAAGCTACTTTCTAAACAGATGGGCTGTCACTGGGATGTGTGCGTGTTTTCCACTCAATGTCAGTTGGTAGGAGCAGTAATGAACCACTGGTCCTACCAGGCAGCAGCTGGCACGGCCAGATGCAGTCATGTATGTCCCACTCGCACCATAGCCCACCAGCCCTGATGCCCAGCACTTTGCTGTCAACTCTGGGAGGGGGTTGTAGTTAACAGTTTGGGATTTCTGCTGTCATAATGCAATGGAGGTAAACTTGTGGCAGGGTTTTGCTATATTTCTAAGACTTAATACATTTTTAAATGTATGTTTATTTTAAATTTAAATTTTAAAAATTGAACTTGAAACAAATTATCAAACAAATTGTGCGCCCCTTCTTTAAAATATATTTGAGGTGGAGTTCATTTTTATGAACATACTAAGAAAAGCATTTAAAGCAAATAACACTGGACACAAAAAGGGAAAGAACTAACCAGTATACTTGGTTTGCCTTATTAGTTGTGTGTTATCAGGGCCCCTTACCAGACTGTTAAGGAACAGTTTTAATTGGTGTCAGTAGTACAGATGTCTCCTCTACTTTAACTGTACTCATTTTTGGAATTACATTTTAATATTTTCATCTTACTCTTTTTTTTTACTTAGTATTAATGTGTGTTTTCAGGAAAGACAAAGATGTACTTGAAGATAAATTTAAAAGCAACAATTTAGAAAGAGAGCAGGAGCAGATTGACCGCATTGTTAAGGAATCTGGAGGAAAGCTGACCAGGCGGCTTGCTAATAGTCAGGTGATCGAGCTTTTCCTTTCTTTTCATTACCTACTGATTTCAGGTTGTCTGAAACTTTTAAGTTTTTAAGTTTCTTGTGTACTTTTAATCCGTATCTGCCGTAGAACTCTTTAGGACCACACATAGAAGAAAAAGTAATAATGTATTTGTTTGTAAAAGTACATGATTAATATTATCCTCTATTACTGGGTAGAAGGACTTGGGGTTTGTTTTGTTTTGTTTTTTAAGTGAAGTTAATGTGTTCTAAAGTTGGAAAATGAACCATGTACTTTAAGCTTAAAAGAAAGCGTTTATCACTGGTCTTTTGCAATCATATTGTTTACACATTGTTTCTAAAACCAAATGAATTAATACATGACTTTGGGCAAGGTACTCCCCTTCCCTAGTATTCAGTGTCCTTTTTTAATAATGTAAGCAGAACTAGGTGGCCTTAATGACCCACACAGCTCTTTAAATTCTGAGATTTCTCTAACCTTCACTTCTTTAACCCACTTGTGTACATAGAGACAGGTATGAAAGTTGATATGAGTGTAATGATGGAGCCACCTATAATACTAGTTTGACTAAGGTAAGGTTTTCTGGTGAGCTATATATGTATCTGTATATGGTATATAAAACTGTTTATACCAACTGAATACTTTGGGTCATTGCAGTGTGAATTTGAAAGGAGGAAACCAGATGGAACAACAACACTGGGTCTCCTGCATCCTGTGGATCCTGTTGTAGGAGGTACTTTCACAAAATCAGACTGTGCATGAACTTGATGCTACCTAGGTTAACGTTTTAAAGCAACAAGTCTGAATATTGTTAAACCCAACTATATCATTATCCACAATGAACTTGGCCAGGCATTGTGTATTTCATGGTAACAGCTGGCCTAGCTTTATTTTATCCCAAAATAGGTACAGCAGATCAGCTTTATTAAAATATAAAGTTCGTGGAATATCATATTCACCATTAACAAAGCAAAATATTAATTTCTAGCCCTAGGTTTAAGAGACTGTGGGGTAAAGACTCAGTTATTTCTTTAAGTATCTCAAAGCCCTCAGATCATGGCATAATAAATTTAACTGACGTTTTAATTTCAGGGAATAGAATGAATATATATACCATGCAGTACCTTAATGGTAATGGAATAATGTATATGTCTTCCCTGTGGTTGATAGGAAGTTTATTAAGGTTGGGAATCACTGTTTTAGAACCTCGGTCATATTTATATTTTCTCAAATGATATGTTAATGGAGAGAATATAGGGAATATTTTGAAATTTTTTTTAACATTTTTTATTGATTTATAATCATTTTACAATGTGTCAAATTCCAGTGTTCAAGCACAATT